AAAATTGGTTTGTCAGAAAAAAAAAAAAAAGTAGAAAATTGAAAATTCAAACCACCTCTAACCTCATAAAATAATAAATGGAACATAAACTTAGCTAACTCCTAACTAATACAGGTCATCAACAGTCGGTTGGAGGATAGCAAATGTCAGATAGCAATATCAGCCAACAAATATGAACTTGGAAAAATTTTGTAAAGAATGTATTACTATCGGAGTAATAAGGAGACATAGATAGCTTATAAAACAAGTATAAAAGATTTTGAATGCATTTTAGCATATAAAGTTTCTATAAGCTAAAATACCCCAGTTATATTATCACAGCCATGTGAACATAAAATACATAAGAAAGAAATAAATACAATATTTTGGAATAAATAAAATGTCAAAAAGATGAAAAACTATGTTTTGATAATATACCTCTACGGATCTTTTCCTCTTTAATGTCTTTGTAAAGTATCCTCTCCATTTCCATCATAAGATCTTCACTTTCAATTTCAAAACAAAGGTGATCATACTCCCATAATATGTCATCATTTTTGGAATTTGAGATACCATGATGCTCCCCCAAAGGTGAAGCATTGATTTTCTCGAGCTCATCACTCACTATGTGCCAGAATGTTGAGTCAACAACCTCCTAAGAAATTTTTTTAGAAGAAAAGTTCATCATAAGCAGCCAAATGCAGATAGGATACTGATTATGATGATGATAATGTTGATAATAATGATAATGATGCATTATCCAGTAAAAAACTTGATAAACTGAACGGAATAGACATCCTATTCATAGAATTTTTTAGCACCAACAATCTTAAAAACAGACTAGCCACTTTTATTTGTTAGTACAAAATTAAAAAAGATTTTCTCAAACAATTTTCAAGGTACTTTTTACAAGAGATTATAGCATCTTCTTTTAGCACAGAGCTGCAAAAATTGTCCACGATATGTTAACATTTATCTGTCAATTTCATGACTATCATCTTGTGTACTTATGCAATGAATTATTCTTCCCCCTTTTGTTCCATCAACCTAAATTGTCAAATAACTTCCAAATAAAATTTTAGTCATCATCCATCATGTGTGAACCTTCAAGTTGCCAACAAACTATCTTAATCTTTCTAATTTTAAAATAGCACAGAAGGAAACCAATATATTTCTTTTGTGGTCATCATGCAAGAGTTTATTATATAATAATACACTTTTTGGAATGTTCGAATCTCATAAAATCTTTTATGCATATGGAGATGTGGATTAATATCTTGCTGCTATCATTCAACCACCTACGGCACCTAGCACATCTCTAAGCTTCTTAAAAACTAAGAGCTGTTTTGATCCATATTTTTTTCCATTTTTTTATTTTGTTTTTAAAAACTAAATAAATAAAACAAAAAATAAATTTGTTTACTCGTTTTTATGTATTTAAATTATTAAATAATGTTTAAACTATTTTTAAAAACACAAAAAAAAAGATAAAATACGTTTTCATTGTTTTTAAAACTTGCTTCGCGATCAAGCAACCCGGTGATAGACAGAAAATGTCCACAAAAGAGATGAGTCCTCTCAGCCAATGGCGAACCTCAAGCCCATCTTCCCTCCCCACCATCTCCACTCTTTAGAGCATTGCATCCATAGGTTTTGTCGAGATGAAACGCTGCCGAGCTTCAACTATTGTATTGAAGAAACCAGAGAGGTTGAATCTGGAGTGAAGGGAGATGATATCAAAAGCATTGAGGTCGTTATCATCAACTTCGTTGTTTTCCCTCTTGATCTTCGAAATTCACTCCTCGATATCCTCCCAGAATCTCATCAATTTAAGCATGTTTCCCTCTTCTAATCCCCTAATAAACCAAGGATCATTCAGAATTCCCTTAATAGTTATCCTCGTCTCCAAATTTGTATCAAGAAGTCTAGAAAGAAATTGTCAAAGCCCGTGAGAAATCCATCCAGGACATCGGTACTCATCACAATAGATTTTAAGGTACAATGCTATCAAAGTGCGATCATCTAAAAGGAGATATCCGGCATTAAGGACAAACAAGATACCCCGAAAGGACCAAATGTCGACTTTAGCGCCCTCGTAGCCCCTCTTGATAGAATCTCTAGAGCAATATGGGTCCAAGTACCACAAAAGGTGTGAAACAGCTAAATTCCTATGTATTAAGGTGAAGAGATGTGGCTGGTTTTGTATTTTTGATAAAAGAAAAAGAAGATTTACATACATACCACTCAATTCCTATGTATTTACATATCTAACACCTAAACTTCATTTATTACAAACATACAACCTCACATGGAAATGTTTATTTAACTTTTTAAAAGTTGAAATGGTGGTATTTTTGGTGGGATCAGAAAGATTAAAGGGTGGATGGTATAAATGTTAAAAGTGAAGCTTAGGTGTTAGATATGTAAATATATAAGAAATGGATGGTTTGTAAGTAAATGCCCTTATCTTTTTTGTTTAAATATTTCAAAAAAATGTATCATTTCTTTTATTTTCAAAAAAACTTATATGAATACCAAACATATTTTATTATTATTATTATTATTATTATTATTATTATTCTTATTTTCTAAAACAAAAAAAATCATAAATGTACCAAACGTGCTTTTGTTTTATGTTAAAAAAAAACAAAACAAACTAATAACCACGAAACATAAAGTGCTCCAAAACATCCCCTAAAGGATTTTGGAATCACTTTTGTTTTTTGTTTTTTTCTTTTATTTTTTGTATTTATTTTGTTGTGTTTATGTTTTGATTTTGAAACAAACTTGTTTGGTATGTTTGTTTACGATATGGTTGTTTTTCAAAACACTCAAAATACCTAAAAGTTATTTTGAGTGTT